CCATGAAAATGCACCTCTGAGATCTCCAGCTGCAGGAACCATAACTGAATGTCGTCTCCGGCCACCGTGTTTAAGCAAGGCCACACCTCTCACGTGCTCCCAGCCAATAACTGAGCGCAGTAGGGATACTAAAATAAGTGCCATTTCTGCAAGAAGCGGGGCTCTTCTGATGGGCGAGTTTGGACCAAGAACTCCCAGTCGCCTCGTTCTCTAGAACTGCTGCAGTCTAAGGCTTTCCCTAACTACCTTCTTCCCACCCTTCCCTTACTGTGACAGGGGTCAGAAATGCACTGCATTCTGATGGCTGGCCCGGCCTCACAGGTGTTTTCCCCAATTAATCTCTTGACATCCAATGTTTAGTGTTCGCTTCTCGGTAGCCAAAGTATCACGAGTGGTGCCAGGAGTGGTCTGAGAACACAGATGCAGGGTGGGGTAGCTTCCTTCACTACCACGTAGACAAAGAGGACGCAGTCCTGAGTGGTATTTGGGACACGGGCTCCGGCAGTTCATTGCTAAAGATATAACCAGCGGTGACCTGGGAAAACCCCAGGGATGAGGAACGCCCTCGCAGGTGCGATGATTCGGCACTTGAAAGGTGTGAGGGAGCACGGCCTGCAGAGCGGCGGAGCTGACTGTAAGTTGCACTGATGCCCTGCAGAAGACTAGGAGAAGCTGAGAGCCATGGCCAAGCACTTAAAGGCTAGACGTGGCAGCCGGAGCGCCTCTGGCAGCTTGCAAAGCCCTTGTCGACTGCGGTGAAAGAGCGGACTCAGGTGACTGATGAAACACGGTGGACGACTTCCGTAAAGGACAAGATAGTAAATACTTTAAGCTTTGTGGGGAATATTAGATCTTCATCACACACTCTTCTTTGTTTTTATAATTCATTAAAAATGTAAAACCCATTCTTAGCTCACAGGCTGTACAAACAGGTCTGTGGGCCATAGTTTGACACCCCTCAAATAAAAGATATGAAGGTTAGAATTGCACAGCCACGACAGGTATTTAAGGTCAGGGTCCTGGGTGCACTGAAGCATGAGATGGAGACAGCCGGAGGGCGACCCGAGGGTGCTGGCTGGGCAGATGCCCTGGACGAGCCAGCCTTGCACCCACCCTCGCCTGGCAGAAGGCAGCATTTCTGCTGTGCTGCAGAAGGTAACAGGTGTCCCCTCGGAACTGCCCCCAGCAACTCTCCTGGCAGGGAGACTGAACAGTGCGGTTAGCGGGGCTGGGCGAGTACTGGGTCTGATAAGGAAAGAGACTAAATACTGAAACAGCACAAGGCTTAGTGAGCCCGAGCCGGGAGCCGGAGCCGGGAGCCGGAGCCGGGGGAGTGCGCCTGAGGCTGGATGGGAGTTCGACCAAGGGGGCTGGAGGACGAGACTGCAAAAGCAAGAATTCATTGACTCCGGGCACCTTCTCAGGGCACAGGACCTAACGCCCTGGAAAAAGGGCAACAGAAGATGGGCGAACTTGCTGCTAAGGTGGCTCTTAGACACCTGGAATGAAGCAGAAAAGCTGAGCTGAGAAAAGGGATGTATCAGGAGTCAGCAGACCCACCAGAGGAGTACGTTCCGTGGGGGGCTCAGAGTAGGTCAGGAACGAGCGACTGCTGACGACAGGCACTCACAGATCTGGGCTGTTCGTGTCCATGAACGACACGCCAGCCGCCCACTGCCCACCCCCCTAGTAACAGAAGCCAGGCGAAGAGGTTTAACCACAGCAGCTCAGAGGCCGCGTAGAATGACCAGGAAGGCCGAAGGAATCGCAGAGATGGTTAACAGGGCAAGATATGCTCGGGGGCAAAACAGACGGGTCACCTGCAAGGGTTCTGTTTAACATCCATGAGGGGAACGGAGTTTTGCGCTCCCAAAACATGCTTTTTTGGGATACTGATTATTCTAAGCTAGTATTTTTAACAAAACAACAAACTCAAGAGAAGCCTAATACCTCCCCCTTTACCTGCCTAAAGGAATTCAGGTAGAAAACCTGTTTCAAGGGAGCTATCACCTCAGCTAACGGGATCTAAGTGTGGCCCACAGGGAGGATTCCCACACAGTCTGTTCATTAGACTCCCCACGGCGTCCCATTGCTCCTGGGTCCCCCAGCAAGAATCTGTTCACCACATGTCTGCTCCTTCTCATCTACCTGTGAACCCCTACCTTCTCTTTGAAGTCCCAGACCTCTGCCTCCCCCTCCTTAGCTCAGAACTACATATATAAGCCTCATCTGCCCGATCTGTCTTTGGGTCGCACATTCTCGTGGAACCCCCATAAGTACACACGTAGTAAATTTGGTTATTTTCTCCTGTTAATCTGTCTCGTGTCTATTTGCTTATTAGACCAGCCAGAAGAACTTAGAAGGGTAGAAGGAAAATTATTTTTCCTCTCCTACATCTATAACCAAAATAGGGCAAGAATGAAGGAGCAGGAGGCTGAGGATGGTCGCCCCCAAAAAGTCATAATCCCCTACTGAGTTCCTAAACCTGAGCCAATTTCCATATTAGGAACCCACTGACTGAAGTAGCATAAAGCTGTTCATGATACTCCTTCATTCTGTTTCCTCCCAGTGTTACTGAGGTGTAATCTATATGCAATAAAGTTTATTCGTTTCAGAGTATTAGTTTGAATTAATTTTCACAATTCTATAGTCAAGTAACCACCACCACAATCAAGACATAGAAAATTTCTTTTATTATAAACACTTAACTCATGCTCTTCTGTATTTGATCCCATCCGCTAGTTCATGTCCCCAGGTAACTATAAATCTGCTTTCTGACACTAGAGTTTTGTCCTTTTCTATAATTTTGCACATATGAAATGGTTAAAGACAAAATGAAACATTGGGCACCCAAACCCATGGGGCATTTTGGTAGAGAGCCACCGACAGAGCAAACAAATCCGAACACGCACTGAGTGCCCACCAAGTAACAGCTGACTCCTCGGAGTTGTTCGATTTAATTCTCATAAAAACACTGATATTGCTGCATTCCTTCGGCAGATGTGGACTCAGGCTTTGAAAGGTCAAGCAGCTCACCCAAGGCCATGCAGCTATAAGCGACAGCGTGGGATCTGAATCCAGAGCTCCTGACACTAGATGTGGTATTTGCTCTACTTTGCTGGACAAACCTATAGGTCGAGTTGGCAAACTTTTTCCGTAAAGAGCCCGATAGTAAATACTGAAGCTTTGCAAACCATATGGTCTCCGTCACAATGACTTAACTCCAGTCTTGCAGTGAAAAACGGCCATAGACAATCTATAAATGAGTCTAGCTATGTTCCACTGAAACTTAATTTACAAAAACAGGTTGAGAGCTGGATTTGGCCCAGGAGGTGTGGGTCCTTGACCTCTGCTACAGCTTAAAACTTATAAACAAACAATAAGGGACTAGGCTCTAAAAGCGTCTCCTTTTCTGACTCTCAGAGACATTTTTCATTACTGCTCCACTTACTCTACTGAATTATACAATAATTTTGATTTCACTGTAAATTCATCTTCTAGTCCCTATCTCTCAAACTGTCAACTTTCCTTGCCCTAACACAAATTCTAGCTTTCTCAATAAATACCTTAAGGCAATGATACTTTTTTATTTTTTTAATGTGAGCACCAATTCAGGAAAAGTCAGATTTGTTAGGTGAAGGGACTAAGAAGTACAAATTGGTGGCTAAGGAGCAGTCACAGAGACGTGAAGTGCAGCACAGGGACAGAGTCGATAATGTTGTAACGACTGTGCACAGTGCCCAGTGGGGACTAGATTCATCGTGCATCACTTCGTAAATTATTTAAATGTCTAACCACGATGCTGTACGCCTGAGACTAACATAAAATAATACTGAATGTCAACTCTAATGGAAAAATAAAAAAAATTTCAAAAGCATCTTCCTTCTACTCTTACTAAAAATAGCTTTATTGGATCCCAAGGTGGGAAAACATGTAAAGATCTCCCGTTTTATGGAACGTTTTAAATGCTAGTGAGAAACGTGTTGTTCTTAGTTACCAAGGTGCTAATATGCGGGCGACACGGTCACTGTGCCAGTCTCCACTCTTTAACTTTACACAGCGCTTCGGGATTCAAAAAATCATCTTCTTATATATTATCTCATTTACCTCTGAAGCCGGTTTTGAAATAGGCATTACTGCGGAGAAGCTGAAACTCACAGAGGCTAAGTGACTCGCCCGGTCACAATATCCTCTCTTCCAGGTATCACTGAACGAGTGAGTCCTGTGCAAGAAACAGGAACTAAACTCCCACTTCTTTGTCTTCCTCCCTTATTCGCTATGTTGATCCCTGTCCACCAACACCCATGTGCCTAGATAAGCATTTTTGAAAAAATCTTTCTTCTGGTGGTCGCCCAGGTAGTGTTTTCCCCCTTCAGGCTTCTGTTTTGTTGAACTGAAAGATGCACTTGAAATTAGATCAGGCACTTTTCTGGAAAACCGAACAGGGTTTGAAGCTCTCTGGTCTTGAGCTGCTCATCACTGCTGTATGCAATGTCTTGCCAGGGACTCAGCCACACTACCATGAATAATCATTTTTTAAAATTCTTAGGCTGCTTAGTCAATGTCAAGTTAGTTCTTATTATTTTATTTTGTTTACTACTTGCTCTGAAAGTTAGTTTTATTTTCCCAAATAAATATAAATTCCTTAGTCTCCAGTTCATCTATCCCCTT